TGCAGTTTTGCTCTTGTTGTCCAGGCTGGAGTGCAATGGCACGATCTCAGCTCACTGCAACCTCTGCCTCCTGGGTTCAAGCGATTCTCCTGCCTCAGCCTCCCAAGTAGCTGGATTATGGGCACTCCCCCACCACACCTGGCTAATTTTTGTATTTTTCATAGAGACAGGGTTTCGCTATGTTGGCCAGACTGGTCTCGAACTCCTGACCTTAAGTGATCCACCGCCTCAGCCTCCCAGAGTGCTAGGATTACAGACGTGAGCCACCACACCCAGTCTGTGTTTTTGGTTTTTTTTTTAGACAAAGTCTGACTCTGTTGCCCAGGCTGGAGTGGTGTGATCTTAGCTCACTGTAACCTCCGCCTCCTGGGTTCAAGGGATTCTCCTGCCTCAGCCTCCCGAGTAGCTGGTCTTACAGGTGTGTGCCACTACACCTGGCTGATTTTTGTATTCTTAGTAGAAATGGGGTTTCACTATGTAGGCCAGGCTGGTCTCAAACTCCTGGGCTCGATTGATCTGCCTGCCTCGGCCTCCCAAAGTGTTAGAATGACAGGCATGAGCCACCACACCTGGCCAGGACCATGTATTTTAACTAGGTATGTTACTATTCTGAGCAAATCAACGTTCACTTTGTTAGGTAAAAGGAGTGCATGATATTGTGTAGGCAGCCAGGACTTATGCTACCAAAGTATAATTTTCAAGATGTTAAAAACATACTTCTCATACAAATGAGACCTGAACGTGAATCAAAATTTTGCTTAACTCATTAATGAGGGAACCCGAAGGAAGACAAAGCCTGTTCAGCAGAGGCCATGAGACACAGATAGCTATGCCTAATAACTATCAATGAAAAAAAGAGATACTGAAGTCAGATTGCTAAATTACATACAAATCTGGTTAATGTCTTGCAAGACAACAAAACCTATGACCCTTGGGGTTGTCTTCTCTACCTGACACAAATCAATTACATTGGATCAGTTTTTTACAAGTTAAATTTAACTGTAGAGTCCTAATCAGTGGGAAGCAGTCAGAAGTAGCCACCTCCCCTAGAGTGGGATGACTGTGGGCAGGCTGTAGGTGGGCTCGTTAGATAGCAGTTCTCAAAGTGAGGTTCCTTGCCAGCAGCAACAGCATCCCCTGAGGATTCCTCATTAGGGGTACACATATTCAGGCCTGCTGAGTCAGATTCTCTGGGGGCAGTCCCCAGCAACCTGTGATTCCGAGGCCTGCTCCAGTTTGAGAGCTGCTATTCCATTACGACCTTGAAAGGGTACCCTATCATCTTTTCACTGTATTTCCAGGTCTTGAACAATTTTTCTAAATATACCCATTCCACATAGAGCCTGAGGGAAGGGTATTAGGGCCATCATGACTGGCTGAGAGGAGGGAACCCTCTAATCAAAATAAAACCAAGGGCTAGGCACAGTGGCCCATGCCTCTAATACCACCACTTTGGGAGGCCAAGATGTGTAGATCACTTGAGGTCAGCCTGACCAACATGGAGAAATTCCGTCTCTACTAAAAATATAAAAATTAGCTGGGCATGGTGGTGCACACCTGTAATCCCAGCTATTTGGGAGGCTAAGGGAGGAGAATCACTTGAACCTGGGAAGTGGAGGTTGCAGTCAGCTGAGATTGTGCCACTAGCCTCCAGCCTGGGAGACACAGTGAGACTCTGCCTCAAAAATAAATCAATAAGCTGGTCATGGTGGCTCATGCCTGTAATCCCAGCACTTTGGGAGACTGAGGTGGGTGGATCCACGAGGTCAAGAGAGTGAGACCATCCTGGCCAACATGGTGAAACCCTGTCTCTACTAAAAATACAAAAATTAGCTGGGCTTGATGACGGGTGCCTGTAGTCCCAGCTGCTTAGGAGGCTGAGACAGAAGAATCGCTTGAACCAGGGAGGCGAAGGTTGCTGTGAGCCGAGATTGTACCACTGCACTCTAGCCTGGCGACAGCAAGAGACTCCGTTTGGTGGTGGTGGGGGGGGGGGTGGGGAAGAATAAATAAATAAATAAAAACCCAGGGCTTCAGCAGCAGCAGGGGAACAGAGAGGGTGTCCCAGGCCAGTGCCACAGGCCAGAGGCTGCAGTGGAGGAAGCTCTCCTGCCTCCCATCACCTGCCCAGTGTTTTCCCTCAAGGTGTACAAGTGTGTGGTCAAAAGCTGCGCCCAGACGTTCCCAAAGCTCGACACATTTCTGGAGCACATCAAGAGCCACCAGGAGGAGCTGAGCTACCGCTGCCACCTCTGCAGCAAGGACTTCCCCTCACTGTACGACCTGGGCGTGCACCAGTACTCCCACAGCCTCCTGCCGCAGCATAGCCCCAAGAAGGACAGCGCCATCTACAAGTATGTGCCCTTCCCCTTCCCTCTCCCTGGGTGGACGGGTGGGTGGGCAGGGAGCCCAGGACCTGTGGCCTTGGTGGTTCTGACTGCTCAGGACCAGTGAGATACTTAAAAGGAGAAACTGAGGCTCCTGGCTGGGGTGCAACCTGGCAGAGTGGGCTCTGGGCTTTGGCACTGGTGGAAGAAAGAATGCTGGCTCTCCTTATATCATTCTTATGTCTTGGCAGACATTTTTTCTAAAAAAAAAAAATCCTTAAAAAGGGGAACCAATATTTCCTTGTTCATAGTGGAAAAAGGTTTGAGCATTTCATTCCCAACTAAACAATTATGACAGTATTATTTGGACTCATAATCTACAAAATTTAGGTTAGTCAAAGCAGTACACCAATTCTTACAATGAAAAAAGAATGGGCAGGGTGTGGTGGCCCACATCTGTAACCCCAGCACTTTAGGAGGCCAAGGCAGGAGGAGGCCAGGAGTTTGAGACCAGCCTGGCAACATAATGAGACCTCATCTCTACAAAATAAAATAAAATTTAAAACGAACAGTAACATGTTTAAAAGCAAAAATTATAAACATAATATATATTTGTTTTATAATCTATAAAACTAGATTAAAGTTGAAACTATATGGTGATTCTTATTTTTATTTTATTTATTTCTTTGAGATAGTGTTTTGCCCTGTTGCCCAAGTTGGAGTCCAGTGGCACCATCACAGCTCACTGCAGCCTCCCCAGGCTCAGGTGATCTTCCCACCTCAGCCTCCTGAGTAGTTGGGACTAACAGGCATGTGCCACTATGCCCAGCTAATTTTGTATTTTTTGTAGCGACAGGGTTTCGCTATGTTGCTCAGGCTGGTCTTGAACCCCTGGGCTCAAGTGATCCTCCCACCCTGGCCTCCCAAAATGCTAGGATTACAGATGTGAGCCACTGTGCCCAGCTTATATGCTGACTCTTAGAATGAACAAGGAGTGGATCAAGTATGGATTTTTTTTTTTTTTTAGATGGAGTCTTGCTCTGTTCCCCAGGCTGGAGTGCATTAGTGTGACTTCACTCACTGCAACTCCGCCTCCCAAGTTCAAGCAATTCTCCTGCCTCAGCCTCCTGAGTAGCTGGGACTACGAGTATGCGCCACGACATCCAGCTAATTTTTGTATTTTTAGTAGAGACAGGGTTTCACCATGTTGATCAGGCTGGTCTCCAACTCCTGACTTCAGGTGATCCACCCACCTCAGCCTCCCAAAGTGCTAGGATTACAGGTATGAGCCACCATGCCCAGCCAAAGTATGGAGTTTATTTAGGGTAATTTCTTCTGAAAATCATTTATGTAACTTCAGTCTTCTGTTGTGGTCATGAAGAGGGTCCCTTTGACAGAAATGATGAAGGGGTCCCTCAGTTTTGCCACAGGGCTTTTATCCTTAGATCTTCACCTTGAGGCTGGGCACAGTGGCTCACACCTGTAATCCTAGCATTTGGGAGGCTGAGATAGGAAGGTGGCTGAGCCCAGGAGTTTGAGACCAGCCTGGGCAACATAGCAAGACATTGTCTCAACAAAAATTGAAAAATTAGCCAGCGTGGTGGCATGCACCTGTAGTCCCAGCTACTTAGGTGGCTGAGGTGGGAGGATTGCTTGAGCCCAGGAGGTTAAGGCTGCTGTGGGCCATGATCACGCCACGGCACTCAACCTGGGCGACAGAGACTCCTGTGTCCAAAAAAAAAAAAAAAAAAACATCTTCACGTTATTCTCTTTGGAGCTATTGACCTCTGATCAGCCTTGTTGAATTTCTCTGCCTCAGTTATTTTCTGGTCCATCTGCTGGGTCCTCCTTTGTGGGTGGTGTTATCTGCAGATGTGCAGCGTCACTTAAATGGTATTGTGAAATCCCCCATCTACAGTCATCTTGCTGTGCATTGTCTGTGAGCAGCTGTCTCACAAAGCCCATGGGGGTAGATAGTAGTGAAAGGCCAGGAGTGGTGTTTGTCTGGAGCCTCCTTCCAGTTCATTAGCAAATATTTCCCTGTTAGAATGGTTTTTCCTTCTCTGTACAGGCTCGTACCTGCAGAGATTTGGTGTATCTGTTAATGAGGCCCTTGTAACTCCTGGGTGAACTTCTGGGGTTCAGAGATAAGTAAATACCTTGAGCTTAAAATGCATGGGCTGCTCAGGGAGACAGGTGCCTAAACAAATGTGCCCTATCACTTGATAAAATGCTATCACATATGTTAATACGGTATAGAAGTACCAGAGGGGGAGGCAGGTTAAGAGAAGCTGTGCCAGGAGCAATGACATCTGAACTGGATTTTGGAGGATGAATAGGAGTTTGCCAGGTAGACAATGGATGGGGTGGAGTAGATTTCTAGCAGGAGGAACCGATCAAGTTTAAAAAAAAATAGCAAGTGGTTTATAAAAAAATAGAATGACTGGGAGCTGGGCGTGATGGCTCATGCCTATAATCTGGGCACTTTGGGAGGCTGAGGCAGGAGAATCACTTGAATCCGGGAGGCGGAGGTTGCAGTGAGTTGAGATTGCGCCACCATTGCACTCCAGCTTGGGCAACAAGAGTGAAACTCCATTTCAAAAAAAAAAAAGAATGACTGGAGGCTGGATGCAGTGGCTCATGCCTGTAATCCCAGCACTTTGGGAGGCCGAGGTGGATGGATCACCTGAGGTCAGGAGTGATCCGCCTGGCTAACATTGTGAAACACCGTTTCTACTAAAAATACAAAAAATTAGCCAGGTATGGTGGTGTGTGCCTGTAATCCCAGCTACTCAAGAGGCTGAGGCAGGAGAATCACTTGAACCCGGAAGGCAGAGGTTACAGTGAGCCAAGATTGCGCTACTACACTCCAGCTTAAGAAACAAGAGTGAAACTCCGTCTCAAAAAAAAGAAAAAAAAAAAATAGAATGACTGTTGCATAGAGTGGAAGCAGGAGGGAGATGTTTAGATGGGTCTGTGGGAAAGAGTAAGGCCAAGGCATGAAGGGTCGTGTAGAAATCACAAGAGCTTTGAGAAGTTGACAGAGGAACTAGAACTCAAGAAATGGGGTGTACGGTAACTTGCTCCCAAAGCTCTGGGAAATGGGGCAAGAGAGGCAGGGAAGCCAAGCAAAGCTTTGGCCAGCCAAGGGGCAGAAATTTCTGGCAGTAATGACTTATTCCCATTTGTGCTCGGGAAATTTTCTTTTGCTCTTGCCCTTCCAATTTGTGGATTATCTGTGAGTCCTGTGGCTGTGTGACTCTGGAGTGAGATGCCAAGTAAAGGGAAGGAAGTACCTGCTCTGTGCCAAGCTTGCATTAGTGACATCAGTCCCTACCGTCCTGGGAGGGAGGTGGTATTCTCCCCATTTTGAAGATGAGGACGCTGAGGCTCAAAGAGAAGCGACCTGCCCACCAGAGAAACAGCATCAGCAGAGTTTGGATTCGAACCTTGGTGTGAGATCTTGGGAGCCTCACAGCCCTGGTCTTGGAGCTTCCAGGTTGAAGGCTGAGCCCAAAGCTGATGGCCCTGTGCAGTCCCCTTGCAGGGTCATAGGGCCAGTGACCTTTTGTAGATATTGCAGCTGTTGTCCCATCCCAAAAGTAAGACCCAATGAGCCAGGCCCCCATCTGGACAGCCTGAAGGTGGAATGGTATCATGGGTAATGATAAGGGTTCTGGAGCCATTAGCCTGTGCTTAAATCCTGTCTTGACTGCAAATCCAGTGGATGACCTTGGGCAAGGTATTCAGCCACTCTTAGCCTCAGTTTTCTCCTCTGTGAAATGGGGATCACTGTAGTGTCTGCCCTATTGGATTATTTATAAGGATCAAGTAAGACAAGGCTCAGGCTCTTAGACATGGTACCTGGAACATAGTAGGTACTCAATAAATGTGATTGCTACAATTATTATTATCTGTGTTATTTAAATAAAGGTTTGGCTGCATGCAATAGAGACCTAAAATAACAGTGGCTTATACACCATGAGAGTTGATTCTCTCTCATAGTGGTGTTTGAGTGGGTGTGGTAGCTTCATCATATTTTTAGAGGTCCAGGCCCTGTCATTCTGGTTTCTGTTCCCTGTGAGCCACATTGCCTTGGCCTGCTTATGAGTACTTTCCCCAAACCTCTCAAATGAATTTTAATCATGCCACTATATCTTTATGTTTAATTTTTTCTTTTAAAAAAGAAAATCTGGCTGGGCACAGTGGCTCATGCCTGTAATCCCAGCACTTTGGGAGGCTGAGGAGGGTGGATTACTTGAGATCAGGAGTTCGAGACCAGCCTGGCCAACATGGTGAAACCCCATCTCTACTTAAAAAAAAAAAAAAAAAAAATCCAAAAATTAGCTGGGCCTGGTGACACACTCCTGTAGTCTCAGCCACTCCAGAGGCTGAGGTAGGAGAATCACTCAAACCCAGGAGGTAGAGGTTGCAGTGAGCCAAGATTGTGCCACTGCACTCTAGTCCAGGTGACACAGAGAGACTTCATCTTAAAAAAGAAAAGAAAAAGAAGATTTATTAATTTTTCCCCCAATTGCAAAAGTCAATGTTCAATGCAAATGTTAAATGCAGAGAAAAGAATTTTTTAAAAACCCACACAAAAAAACAAAACTGTCACCCAGAGATCATGGCACTGTTAACCTCTTGGTAGATGTCCTTTGGTATATATCTATAATAAATATGTTTACAGATACAGATACAGATATAAATATCACAGACTATATTTGAGTCAGGTGATCCCAAATTCAGTCACTGAATTTGGTGAAAATTCATCATACTATCTTCCTGTAGCACAGTGTCCGACAAACAGACTGATTTAATGGGATCACTGTACATGTGATTTTATCACTTAAAACTTTTCACTTAAAATAGTTATTAGCTGGGCATGGCGTCTTGCGTCTGTAATCCTAGCACTGTGGGAGGCCAAGGCAGGCAGATCACTTGAGGCCAGGAGTAGCCTGAGCAACATGGTGAAACCTTGCCTGTACAAAAAATACAAAAATTAGCCAGGCGTGGTGGTATGCACCTGTAGTCCCAGTTACTTGGGAGGCTGAGCTGGGAGGATTGCTTGAGCCCAGGAGTTCAAGGCTGCAGTGAGCCGTGATCACGGTGATATGCCACTGCACTCGTGAGACCCTGATCTCAGGGAAAAACAAAAACACTGGTAATACGGATGTCTTTGCATTTCAGCACTTCCTCATTCTTTACACAGCTGCTTAGTACTCCATCGTGCATGGAGGTACTGTGATTTACTTACGTCATCTCCCACCGGTGGGTAGTGAGATTATTTTCAGTTTGTCATTAGTATAAAGAATGCTATAGGGAAAAACTTTGGGCATACATCTTTGCTCTTTTATAAGTTCCTAGAAGTGATTTTGCAGGTCAGAGTTCGAAGGGTTTTTTTTTTGTTTGTTTTTTTCCAAAGATTCTCCACTTCAAAAAATAATTATGTGTAAACAGTACAATATTTAAAACTATGATAGGACATAGAGTGAATAGGAATTCTCCATCCACTGTGACCCACTTCCCTGTATCACAGGCAATCATGTTCAAAAGTGTTCTTTTTAGACCTTTCATTTGGTAATAATTTTATTATTGATTGATTGATTTTTGAGACAGGATCTTGCTCTGTCACCCAGGCTGGAGTACAGTGGCACAATCACAGCTCACTGCAGCCTTGACCTCCCTGGTTCAAACAATCCATCCCTCTCAGCCTCCTGAGTAGCTGGGACTACAGGTGTGCACCGCCACTCCCAGCTAGTTTTGTATTTTTTGTAGAGACAGGTGTTGCTATATTGCCCAGGGTAGCCTAGACCTCCTAGCCTCAAGCAGTCCACTCTCCTCAGCTTCCCAAAATACTTAGATTACAGGCATGAGCCACCATGCCTGGCCTTCAATATATGTGTTTCAAGGCTTTCCGTTGTTTCATAAATTTACTTTTTTAATTTTAATTTAATTTTTTTTATGAGACAGGGTCTTACTCTGTCACTAAGGCTAGAGTGCAGTGACATGATCTTGGCTCACTGCAGCCTTGACCCTTGACCTCCCCAGGCTCAGGTGATTCTCCCACCTCAGCCTCCTGAGTAGCTGTGACTACAAGCATGCACCACCATGCCCACCTAATTTTTTTTTTTTTGTAGAAATGG